GTTGATGAAATATCATTATTTTATGCTAAAATATCTTTATTTTTTTTTGTTAAAATATCATTATTTTTTACTGAAATATCATAAATTGTTGCCAAAATGTCATACATTATTATATTTTCAGTATTAAAAACTATTTTCGGATTATAAAATCAGTTTATTTTAATTTTTTTAATATCTGCAGCAGCCTGCAGATCTTAAAAAAATAAACACACTTCTTATTACAGTCTGCAGCCGTTTAATCTACTTCTTTTACTACAGAAGGTTGCAAAGGTGGTCCGCAGACTTTATGGATTTTTTCTTCAAAAAAACAAATAGCACCTTAGTCTTAATGAGACGTTTTTTTTTTTAATGGTCATTGTTTAGTATAATATTTCTATTTTAATATTTATTTATGAAAAAATATATTTTGTATCAAGTTGGATAATATATATATATATATATATATATATATATATATATATATATATATATATATATACACGTAACAACGTAATTTTTCAAAACAATTTTTCATTTCTTTAAGACATAATTTCATCCAAAACAAACCATAAAAATCCAATGTAACATAGTCATAATACAAAACATGTCAAATCCCAAGATCAAATATATCCAAATCCGCCTGCGTGTGTGTGTACGAGTCATGTCGGCGCCTTCTCACGATTCTCGCTAGTACCTGAAACACATAATACAATAACTGTAAGCATAAATGCTTAGTGAGTTCCCAAATATACCACTTACACATATACGTCATTCCAGGCCATGACCTTCCGGTCCATGTGTCTCAGGGGACTTTCGTCCTAACCCGGTAAACCTTCCGGTCCTACTCGTGTCGTCCTTCCAATCCATAACTCCCTGACCTTCCGGTCTACATCATAGTGCCTCGCGGCCCATAACATAATGTCTTTCGGCCCATATCAAGCATAGCATACATACATAACGCATACAAAACAGGCAACTAATCACATACAATGCATATATCTTATAGCATACCAGACCTTCCGGTCACACATAGGTACCCTTCCAGGTACAGTATATTGAGAAGACTCACCTCGTATGATGTCTAAAATCTCACGTGCTCGATATCTCTTAATCTCGTAACCTTGACCTAGCCTCGCCTAATCACATCAAATAATCATTCTAAATTATTAACGGCTCTCAAGGCTATACTATATTCCTTTCTAAAATTCCATATAAGGGTAAAAGACCATTTTACCCCTCCCTGACCCAAAAGTCCACATGTTGACTAAAACCCTAAAAGTCAACAGCAAGCAGTACGCAGGGCGTACCAGCTCCTGTACGCGGAGCGTACTCTTGCACTTCAGAAATGGGGTACGCGGCGCGTACTGGGATTACGCCCAGCGTAATGCCCAGTTTCTTTGTCCAACACATTCAGGTCTTAAACGGTTAAGACTTGCATCCAAACTTCAGATCTGACTCCTCTAATATGTCTTAATCCATAAAGTTGAAACCTTTAAGCCTTTGCATTGCTGTAAAGGTCGCTTGTGCTCAAAAACACCTTTCCTCTTTCCATAATGAGACTATAACTCATGCATGACCTAAGATCCACATCCAAGACTAGATTTTTATGACTCCTCAACATAATATACACTAGAAAAGGTCAGGTCTAAGCTTATGGAGACTCTTTGCACATAAAGGTTCCAACTTTGAACCAAAAACCCTAAAAATGGTCCAACAAGCAAAACTTATGAAGAACAAGTAAAGCTTTGAGCTTTTTACCTCAGAAAGGATCTCCAACCACTGAAGAATTCGGATCTACACTTGTTCTTCAACTTCTAGCTCCAACAATGCCTCCTTCTTCTCCTTCTTCACCTTGAAAAGATAACTTCAAGCTCAAAAACACACACACAAGCTAAAGCACGAATCTCAACTCTCCAAGGACTCACTCAAGGGTGTATGGTGGCTAGGGCAAAGGACTACATGTTCCTTTTATAGTGCAAGGCCAGCAATTAGGGTTTTGCATATGGGCCAGTTACGCCCGGCGTAACCTTGGGTACGCCCAACGTACCCGGATGACCCGCGTACAAATTAAGTGCGCAAGTACGCGCAACGTACACCCCAGTACGCCCAGCGTACTCACCAATTCACCTTTCACTTAAGGGACTAATTAGCCAACTCTCCTAAATAGAAGGGTCATAAAGCTAACCTGGATTTCGGGCTGTTACAATATATATATATATATATATAATTAGGATCGGATGAGGACTTTATTTTCGGTAAAGACTGTAATGACAAATCTACATCTTTAACCCAGTAAAAATTAATAGACAAGATTTGATTTAGAAATTGTGTTGAATTAAAAATCGCACGGTGGCATTTTCATTAAACTGATGGGTATGGGTCACACGCATACCCACGCCACATCATCATCTTCTCTCTTCGATTCTTTCCATCAATTGCGTTAAGGGTTTTCTTGGAGGTGGTCTTCCAAGCCTTCAATTGCATTGTGATGACAAGGAAGATCAAGAAAGAAGAAACAGAGGAAGGAAGAAATGACATTGTCCTTCGTTGTCATTACCAAGCCTAGGTAACGCCAGTATACCTTAACGGGCGTTGGGGTTGGTGTCCCCGGTGTTATACCGATGTTTTTCGATGTCCACATCATTATAACGGGAGTTGACGTTGCTCACACCGAGCACTCATATTATCACCAATTGTTTACAATTTTCCAGCTAAGTGGTTAAAGTTTAGGGGCATAACTTTGAACACAACAAAAGTCATGTGCATCACATTAGAACTCAAAGAGAGTTATACGTGCTTCACTGATAGTTGCCACATGGCACCTATTTATTGATATCTTTTATTTATTTTTCACCCAATTCATTTTTTAGCTCTAACTTTTTTTTTTCTTTACAAAACAAAAGTTCTGAAAAATCTAAAGTTTTTAAAATTTAATTTTCTACAAAATGATTATAATAACGAAATTTTGAAAAAAAAAATTTGTTCTTTTATTTTAATAAAAAAACCTAAAAAATATAAATTAACCAAAAATAATTAAAAAAAAATTAATGAATACTTCTACTCACTATACTAGTGATTTTGCAAAAACGTTTTTTTAAATAAGCTCTTAAAATGTTCTTATTTTAATTTTATGAAATATTAGGTTTTATAAATATCATGAATTTTTTATTTCTCCATATACAAAAAGACAAATGAAAGAGTTATTCCTCTTATTATTTTAGTGAGTTTTTAAAAGATTTTATTCAAAAATATTCTTGTTAAAGGTACCTACGTTTTGTTTAACGTAATCCAAGTTTTATAAAAAATAAAACTTAATAATTTTCGTCCTATAAATCATTTTTGTAAAAGATTTGTTATATATAATATTTGAAAATAAAATATTTATAATCCAAAAAGTTATGATTCAACATATTTTTATGATCATGAATTTGTTATGATCCAAATATTTTATGATCTTTAATTATAATTTTTAATGATTTAAAATTAAATAGTTTAAGATTTTTAATGATCCAAATATGTTACGAGTAAAATCTCATATAGTTAAATATATTATGATCCAAAATCATATGATGCAAAACACCATGATTCAAAAAAAAATATATGATTCAAAATATTATGATTCAAAATTATTTATGAGGAAAATTATATGATTCTTAATCTTTTATGTTTTAAAACTTTTATCATTACTAAACAACAAAACTCGAACCGACCTATAGTTCAAAAAATAAAAGAAAAATCACAAAATTTTTGAAAAGACAAAAAAAAAAATGCAAGACATTTTAAAATTTTAGTAAAAACATTAAAAAAAAAAAAAAAAAAAAAAAACTTAAAAAGTGTGTTGATAAATGTGATATATTGTAAAAATAATAATAATAATAAAAATAATAAAAATACAAAATAGTAAACTGTGTTGTAACTTAATTTCATGTACGTATATAACTTGATATTTAAAAATAATAAAAGTAGTAAGTGGTAAAATATATGTAACTTGATTCGTATTTGTGATAATTTTCAAAATGATAAAATAATAATAATAATATTAAAAACAAAGTGTAATCACATTTAATATTTAAGAAATTAAAGTGTACAGTGGAATAAAAGAAACGAATATTTATAGACGTGAAATTACAATGTACAGTTTAATGCCTTCACAATTTATTTAAGAAATTAAACCATTAAAGTGTACAGTGGGCTAAATATCTAACAATCCATCTGACCCATAGACGCGCATAAAAGTAGCCCATATGACGGCGAAACCAGGCCTCGACAGACATTTGGTTAATACATTTGACAAATCTACCCTTACTCTTTTATTATGTTTAATTTTGGTCCCACATTAATTGTGCAACAATGAGTTTGGGAAAAGTAAAACAAAAAAACTGGTCATGTGCTATTCTGCTGTGTGAACTTTCATTTGTAGACATGTAATCATATTAGTCTTTTTTTAGGACTTGGGAAACGGATTGGAAAATTCAACACCACATGTGCTTATTAGATTTCGTATCATCTTATAAGTTTTTGAATTTAAAACAAAAATTTTGTTACAAATTAAAGGCTTAATTATAATAGTTTATATTTTATTGTGTTTATTAGATTTCGAAAACCGATGCACACAACTTCCATATATAGGAAAATAAAAAATACATAAAATTTATGGAGACTGAGTTGAACCGATCACTAGACCTGTTAAACTAAAAAATCAGCTTTTAAAACATTGATTTGCAGTTGCCAAAAAGAATATCCTTTGCTCCGCTTAAAAAATTTTCTCGATCGGTGATTATTACTTGACTATATGATTTAACGAACTTGCAAACCTCCATGCAACTTCCTTTTATAACTTAAATTCAACATGTCGCCCATCCTTGAAATGTCCAAACCTTTGAAACTTCAAATAAACATGCAACAAATATTAATTAAATCCCTATAAATACCCTCACGTACGTAACATAAATCACCCTCATTAATTAACCTCACACCACAAAACTCTTTATCATTCTAGCTACTTCTTTCTCTTTTTCATCATGTCTTTTAAGGAAGAACCACAATCACCTTTGCAACCACCAGCATATGGAAACTTAATCACAATTCTCAGTATCGATGGAGGTGGAGTACGAGGAATCATTCCAAGTGTCATCCTTGAATTTTTGGAAATTGAACTACAGGTAACATTTAAATATATATCTTAGTGAAGCACGACAAGAAAAATTAAAGCTTGTTTAGTTATGACAGAAATTAGATGGTGAGAGTGCACGGCTTGCGGATTATTTTGATGTAATAGCTGGGACAAGCACCGGTGGTCTTGTGACCGCCATGTTAACCACTCCGGATGAAGATAACCGTCCGATTTTTGCAGCAAAGGATGTTAAAGATTTTTATCTTCAACATTGTCCTAAGATCTTTCCACATGATAGGTATCATTTAATAATAGCAACTAAATAAATTGTGACACTTCTTGTATAGTATAGTGTTTGATTGTTGAAACTCTTCGTTCTCATGCAATAAAAAATCGTAGAAAGTGCACTATCTGAGTTGCCACGTCAACTCTGAGGTCCACATGGGAGGTTAATCATGAAACACTAGAAATATTTTGGTTAACCTTTTGTATGAAATGTAGCACACGTTTTTATGCAATAAGTGAGAAACAAGTTGGGACGATTCGCTATTACAATGAAAACATATTTTTATTTTTATAAGCGAATTGTTTTTTCTAGTAGTGTGATGTGGGAAATTTCTGTTATGGTTAATATTGATTTTTTTTTTTTTCTTATACTTCCATTTTTTTGGTACAATATGTAGCCATCCGTTCGCTCCTGCTACAAAAGTGATCAAAGCTCTATCGGGGCCAAAATATGATGGTGAAAATCTACACAAAGTTATTCGAGAAACACTACAAGAAAAACGACTCCATGAAACATTAACAAATGTCGTGATTCCAACATTTGATATCAAATATTTGCAACCTGTGATCTTCTCAAGCTACCAGGTATTGAATTTATACATTTGTTGCTCCCTAAAAAACCATCAAAGGATCGTTTTTCAAACCCTAAAAATCTTAACAATGAAATCGAGAAAAAAGATAAATTTCTTTGATATTTGTTTCAAAAAATGCTTAAACCAACAAATAACAATGCACTTTCATTAGTATAATAATATTGAACATTTTTTATTGAACCATATCTACCGATTATAGAAAAGTCATCCGAATTCACAATAATTTTTACCATTATAATTGGCTACTTTTTCAAAGTATAATAATATCTTAATAAGAATATAAAAAAAAAAAGTTGAAAGTATACATACTACTATAATTGGATATGATTAATTAAAAAAAAAAAAGAAGTAGGAGGTGTAATGCTTTAATAGAAATGCGATAATACAAAAATAATTGTATTTTTTTTTATGTTTTCATTTAATTAGCCATTTCAAGTAACCATATAATACGTACATTCATATTCATGTTTGTTCAGTTAAAGAAGAACCCAAGTCTTGATGCCACATTATCCGATATATGCATTGGAACATCAGCTGCCCCAACTTATCTTCCTTCACATTCATTCCAAAGAAAAGATACCGAAGGAAAATTACTTAGAGAATTCAATCTTATTGATGGTGCAATAACAGCCAACAATCCGGTATGCTTAATTACTTACTCATCTATGTGGTTTAATTAGGCTAATAATTCTTCTCTTTTGCAGACTTTAGTTGCCATAAGTGAAGTAACAAAGGAAATAACTAGAGGTAGTGCAAATTTTTTCCCAATAAAGCCAACAGAATACGGACGATTTCTAGTGTTGTCATTAGGCACAGGGTCACCACAATTTCAAGAAAAGTATGATGCGATAAAGTCATCTAGTTGGGGAATTTTGGGGTGGTTAGCCGGTGGTGGCTCAACCCCATTGGTGGATGTATTTACTCAGGCGAGTGGCGATATGGTTGACTATCATATCTCCACTGTCTTCCAAGCCCTTCATTCAGAAGAAAATTATCTTCGTATTCAGGTAATTATATTTCCCTTCCATTTTAAAAAGATCCAAAATTCCGTATTATATATAACATACTAAATAAAAATGAAATTAACATGGTATATTGTATCAGGATGACACTTTAAGTGGGGACTTAAGTTCCATGGATTTGGCAACACAAGAAAACTTAGAAAATCTTGTGAAAGTGGGACAAGAATTGTTGAAAAAAAAGGTGGCGAGAGTAAACTTGGGAACAGGCATATCTGAGCCTTACCATCATACCACCAACGAGATGGCTTTAATAAAGTATATTCACGTTTCCCACATAACTCTATTTAATTAGTATAAATTTTAAATCGTATATACGAAGGAAGCATTTTATATGTTTATGGATTTGAATATTTTCTTTTATGTATGTAGGTTTGCGAAAATACTTCATGAGGAGAAGAATGTACGAGAACTTAGATCACCAAGTACTAATAGAGGAAAAATTACACGAGAAGGTTCAATGAAAGAACAAACTAAACTTTCACAAAGAACACCAGCCTTCTCAAATGCACTTCATCACTCTCTTCCAGATTTACATGAGCTCAACCCAAACTAAGCTTTTCTTTCTAGTATGGATAATTTATTATGCGTTTTTCTAATTTAAGTTCATAGTTATATTGTTTGGGTGAAAACGGATGCAAGTGTCTTGTTTCACACTTTCAGTTTTTGTTAACCAAATATATAAATAATAAATAAATAACACTTGCTGTATTTGTTTGGTTCTAACCGATTCGAAGTGACTCATTCGCACCCCTATATTACTTTGATAAAGTGGGTGAAAAATAATAAACAGTGAAGTTTAGGTGAGAAAATCGGGTGAATTCGGGAAATTGTAATAAAAGTTTTAATATTTTTAGGAAAGTTGCATTTTAGTCTCAATATTTTTTTTACATAAAAGTCCCGATTACTTTATTTTGGCTTAAGTTTACAAAGAAAAAAAAACCCGTTTTTTAACAAGAAACGATATATTATCATGTTTTTTAAAAATAATCAGGATTTTTATGTTAAAAGAATCTTATACTAAAATGTAACTTTTTTGAAAACATTGAGATTTTTCTGATAATTTCCTCCATTCATATTACCAACTTTAGATGTAAATTTGAAGGAGTGAAGTAGTTGTCAAAATGAAATTTGTAGAAGCTTGAAATCTAAAAATGGTTTCTTCGGAATCCAAAATAAATGTCCAAAATATACATGTACTTTCAAACCGAGCGGTGATTTTGAAAATTTTAAATGTGATTGGTTAGATACAAATATATAAGATTATAAGAGCATTTCAAATGTTAATTTTAATCCAAATTTCAATTTACTTTCATAATTATATTCTTTATTAGTAATAATATCAGATAATATTTATATTTGAAATATTTTGTATAAGAATATAATTTGAATGCTTGAAAACGACAAATTAAATGAGCGACTTTATTACATATTTTAGGTAAAAAAAAAAAAAAAAAAAAAAAAAAAAAAAAAAAAAACCTACTTTATAGGTAATTAGGTATAATCCAATATAGGCAAAGGCGGTCAAACGATACAAACTTTGGATATTTATATTAAATTAAAAAATAGAATAGGCAAGTTCCAACATTTTTATGCTATCGCATCGTATATCTATCTTCTCAAAACAAAAAAAATAATAATAATAATAAATAAAATAAAATAAAATAAAATAAATGATCCATGTGTTATGCAAATTTTTAGGTTTTTAATACAAAATCCGAGTTTTTTGGATTCATTTGTATGTGAAAATATTTCATCCGAAAATTAAAATGGCTATAATACCATTGAGGTATTTATTTTTCATTTTTCTTTCAGTTTTTTTAAATTTAATATTTATTATTTTATTTTAACAATTAAAAAAATAATAGAGGATCTCTCTCTCTCTCTCTCCACCCAAGAACACCTTCATAATCTCAAGAACACTTAAGAACATATTCATGAACTTAAGAATATCTTCCACAACTACCACACTTCGACCATCGTCCGCCACCGCCACCGCCACCACCACCACCCTTTGACCACCATCTTCCGCCACCAACTTAGTCTGCCACTACCACCATCTACTACCTCTATATATGGTTCTATTGTTACCCATAATCCCCTTCCCTTCCATCGTTCACCTCCTTCGACAACCTCTTTTCAACCATCTCCGGCAACCGTTCGCTTCTGAACAGGACCATTGTTCACCTCCAACAAACACCACAGTTCGCCTCTGCCCATAACAACCAATCACAACATCCACCACCATTGTTGAAATCTACTTCTAACCTTAAATCAAAACCAATAGCTTAAACTTAAAATCTAACATACAACTCAAATCTAAGCATGATAACTGAAATTAAAAAGAATCTACCACCTGACTTCAAATCTCACCTCGATTTACACGATTAAAACAAGAATAGGCTTGTTGAATCGATTAGAATTTTGAAACCCAGATGATGAAGGTTTAGACACAGATACTTTGAAGGTTGAACCATGAAGTTGATCAAGGAAACAACGTTCTAGGGATACAAGACTGAGACCAAATCAATGACTCTTCATCTCCTTACGCAACACTGCATCATCTGAGTTAGGCCTGAGAGATCAATGACTTGGATATTAACCTCATTTGACACCTCCACCACCGACGGTTTAGAGAGCCAATTAACAAAGGAATTGGACCGAAGACTAAGCTAGACATAAGTTCGAGCACCTGGAGTGCATCTAAAAGATTTCGAACTCTGTAAGTGGTTGGGGACGCACCCGTCTTCATCCTCACAAACATCATCATCATCAATTGTCCCTTCTAATACAACTATGCATAAATCTGTGGGAACCAGTGCTTTACCCTTTGTTGGCACTTTGCTTTACCCCTTCAGAATGGTTGAAAGAGACCAAATCTCTGATAGCTTCTTTACTCTGAAAAGAGGTTGATGGTAATCGACGTTTCCATTTCAATCGACAACTTTTTAATCTTTGGGTAGGACCGTCAATTTCAGGGCTACCGTTTACAAGTGAACATGATGAAGATGATGAAGGAGATGAAGAGAGGGAAAGAGATTAATTGAAACCTATGTGAGAGTGAGAGGAGAAGGTTTCCTAAGGAGTTGAAGAACAACGTCAGCTTTTTTTTTCTTGATTTGCGTTTGGTGTAGAGAGAGAGAGAGAAAGAGAGAGAGGGTGAGTGAGTGAGTGAAAGATAGATAGATAGATGTTGAGATAGAGAGAGAGAGAGAGAGAGAGAGAGAGAGAGAGAGAGAGAGAGAGAGGGAGGTGGGGTCCTCCATACTTTTTAATTATTTAAATAAATAAATAAGTATTTTATTAAAAAATGAAAATAAATAAATAAATAAATACTCCAATGGTATTACAGTAATTTCAGTTTATCGAGAGACCAAATATGCAATCAAACCAACTCAAAAGGATTATGGATCCAAAAAATTCGAAATTTTTGATTAAAACCTCAAAAATTTACATACCACCCATTTTGCAATTTTGTAAAAAAAAAAATAATAAATAAATACTGTTCCCACGACCACGGGCCATATTGGTAAAAAGAAGATAAAGAATATATATAAAAATGGTCCCTGCAAAAAAGCGGTTATATGTTGCGTTGAACATTGAATTGTAGTCGTATTTTAGTCATATGATGAGACTTGTTTGGTGTGGTTAAGAAATGGACATGATTGAAAAATTCAACACCACATTATAATAAAGTTTTAAAATTTCTTGAATTTAAAACAAACTTTTTTGGTTGCAAATTAAAGGTTTAATTATAATAATTTATATTTACGTTCATGTTTTGTTGTAATTATAAAAAATTTGGACTCAATGTCCCATATCCCAAATAAACCATTTACAAAACTATTTTTGTAATTTTTGGGTCAAAATGGGACTATATATTCTTTTAACATTAAAAGTCCATAGTCTATTAATGCTGTATATAACACAATATTGATATTGATGTTCTAAAAAATAAAACAAATGATATATATGATCATTGATTGATCGACCCATAAATAATTTTGAAATATCGTAGATTGTCAAACATTAGTATGATGATATACACATACAAACCAAACTATTTAAAAATTGTACTATAACCTTTAGTTTGATTAGAAACAATCCACCTCTAACAAAATGGCTATATGACTTGATTTTAGATGATAGCTACATTTGTATGTTTTATCTTCCATGCTTCATATCTTGGAGGTGAATAGGATGTGTTTGCAAATTTGTATTGTAAAAATCTAAATAAAGATGCATACATAGAACGAGTGATGGATCCATTAATTATCCAAAGTGGGATCCTAAAAGAATGTTATATGGTCGGGTTTGACAACGGCTCACCATGGGTCTGGTAAAAAAAAAGGTTCCTAATAAACACTTTTTAAAATTTAGCAATAAAATAAAAATTAAAAAACCTAACAAAATTAAAATACTCATGATTATCCTGACAAAAAATTTTAAACTCTAACCACTACAAGAGATACAGCCTTTAGCGGCGACATTGATTTTTAGCGGCGACATTTTGAAAAGTTGCCGCTAAAGGCTAACGTCGCCGCTAAAGGTCCATGACACGGATCTGCACTTTGATGTTCTGGTAAACAAGAACCGGCCGATCGTATTTCTAATCCACCGGATGGGATGCTCGTGGAACACACAAAATCAATACCAACAACTTTTGTCGCCGCTAAAGACCTACAAATGTTGTTGCTAAAGATCGAAAAATGTCGCGGCAATAATTCCCTCCGGAGAGTCGCCGCTATTAATATTAAGTCGCCGCTAAATATCAAAACATCGTCGGTAAAGGTGTCGCTGCTAAAGGTCGACGCAGTTAACCCCGCAAAATTGACGCTTTTTTCCTTTTGCTCTTTTGTTTCCATTCGCTGTTGTTGTGTTTCACTTCTTCCTCCCTCTTCTGCTTACTTCCATCGATCCTCGTCAATTAAGTGGGTGATAACGACGACCTTACTAATTTTCCAGTGGTTGAATCGGCCACACAAGAAGATATCGGCGAAGACTGTATTTTCCGGTGAGGACCATTTCTCCGGCGACATTACTCAATTTCCGGCGACTGAGAGGTATTTCCAGGTTAGTTTCCTTTCTCTTTTCTCTTGTAACATCGATTTTAAGCTTACTGTAGTGCTTAATTTCAAAAAAATTATCAATTTTAGTAGTTTTTTAAACTTATTGTAGTTTTTTGACCGTGTTCCCGACCACCACATGCCACTACTGTTAACATTGGATCATTTTCGTTGATTTCCGTCACCACAGGTTCTATTTACTTCTATTTGTTGTGAAATTGAGTTTAATTGCAAAATATATGTGGTTGTATAAATTATATGAAAATTGGCATATGTGTATATTTGATATTTGTATGTGAATCTATTTATATTTAGTGTACATATGTGGTATATAAATGTGAAATTTTGTGTTTGAAGTGTAACAAGGTTCATTTAACATTAAATTCAATGTAAAATAGTAATTTTAGGTTAAATTCTTAAGGCTATATTCATAGAATCACAACATATCTCGGTTTTATATATCTTATTTTCAATAATACGTTTTTTATTTAGAACAACATATCTTAACAAGATAAACATATATTTAAAAATGAAAATAAGATAAATTATTATTCTACACGTTTAAAGCAATGTTTACTCTACATTTATAAATGAAAAAGAAACTTAAAATGAATATGGGGACAATGGGAGAGAATATGGAAGACACTAGAACATCTTCAATACTATATATGAAAGACACTAGAACATCTTCAATGCTATATATGATTGCTATAACAAATCAAACAAAAAACCTACTAAGTTAGTTTGTTGGAGATGTTAAACAAACCTACTAAGTTAGTTTGTTGGAGATATAACTGTAAACAAACTGAACGTTCGGCGGGAAATTCGTTTATGTTCGTTTATTTAATAAATGAACGAAAATGAACGAACATGAACAATGGTCTCGTTCGTTCATTTATGTTCGTGAACGTTCGTTTACGATGTTCATTTACGTTCGTTTATCTTCGTTCGTTTAAGTTTATTTATATTCATCTATTCAATTATTTTTTATTATATTGCTATATTATATGTTCGTTTATGTTCATATATGTTTAATTGTGTTTTTTTATCTTTGTTCGTTTATGTTTGTTCGTTTATGTTCGTTTAGCATGTTCACGAACATAAACAAAGTAATTTGTTAAACGAACGAACATGAACAAGAAAATCTCGTTCGTTTATCCGTTCGTATTCGTTTGTTTTTCGGCTAACTTAAACGAACGAACATGAACAAGACTTTGTTCGTGTTCGTTTACAGCCTTAGTTGGAGATGTTAAACGATTGTGGTAGAAAGTGGAAACAGTGGGTTCAAGGAATCGGTTGTATCATAATCTAAAATGAAAAATAAAAAAAAAAAGTCATTATATGTTAATTATTTTATCATGGTTCAGAAATTAACTTTTTTTTTTTTAATTTGTTATATATAATCTATTAAGATATTAAAAGCAGGAAAAAAAATTATATATCTTATAAATGTTAATTTTGAGGTAACACATAACTTCTAGTGACGTATAAAGTTAATTAAAAAATTTGTTATGCTAATGTATAATTTTGTGTTTGAAGTGTAATAACAAGGTTCGTTTAACAAAAATTATAAAATTGTTTAAAGGGTAAATTACACAAAAAAATATTTTTTTTATACAGTAATTCGATTTTGATACTGTTTTTTTTTTTTTTTTTTTTGTCAATTTTGACACTGTGTTTTTCAATTTGTTACAATTCTGACCACTTGACCGGTTAACCAGGTTACATTCTAACGTGGCATAATGACGTATCAGTTTTGATGACGTGGCATGCTGACATGATATGCTGACGTGTCAAAATTGATTTTTTTTTCCATAAAAAACACTAAGTTTTCACCTTTTTTCGATTTTGACACAAAGTGTAACTTTTTATTTCAATTTTGACACTATGTTTTTTTTGTTCCAATCAAACATCTTTATCAAATTTTGTTCAATTGTGTTTATTTTCTATTGAAAACCGTATAAATATATTTTTTTATTACATTTTAAATCGTATAAACATATTTTTTTCGTTTAAAAACCACATTTTTTTTTTTAAATATAATGTGTTTTTTTTCTTACATTCAAAACATTAGTTATATCATGAGAATCACACTAATTATAAGCTTCTAATAAGATGTAAAAATTTGATGAGTTTTGATCGACTACACGCCTTCAAACTTTCAAACACATTTTAAAGTTGCATATTTAATATAAAATACAATTTTTATATAAATAATACATATGTATATATAAAAATATGGTTTGAGTGTAAAAAAATATATTTATACAAAACTATAGTTTTTTAATGAAAAAAAAAGCATATTTATACGGTTTAAATGTATTAAAAAAATATTTATACGGTTTCAAATAGAAAATTATCAACATTGAACAAAATTGGAAAAAATGATGTTCGATTTGGAACAAAAAAACATAGTGTCAAATTTGAAAGAAAAAATTAAACTTAGTGTCAAAATCGAAAAAAAATGAAAACTTAGTGTTTTTTGTGAGAAAAAAATTCAATTTTGACACGTCAGCATATAATGTCAGCATGTCACGTCATCAAAACTGACATGTCATCATGCCACGTCAGCATGTAACCTGGTTAACCGATCAAGTGGTCAGAATTGTAACAAATTGGAAAACACAGTGTCAAAATTGATTAAAAAAAAACGGTGTCAAAATCGAATTTCTGTGTAAAAATAGTGTTTTTTGTGGTCAGAATTGTTCCCAAACTAACCCCAAATTAACCAAGAAGTTCCAAAACTTATATATTAACCAATAACTTCCAAAACTTATATATGAATGCTATAATTAAATGTGTATTTGTAATAAAAATTATATCTGCATATCTTATAATTTTTTAAGAAATGTTGTCAATTTGGCTTTTGTTTGTGTATACCATGGTTGTTGTTATGGGTCATGGACACAAGGGTGATGGAGCTGAGGACCCACCTCTCCCAGGTGGTAGAGGTGTTGGCCATCACGAGCAGGACGGTAAGTCTTATTATGAATTTTTATTTACTATTTTTGTTTAGTTATTATAAATCAAATATCGTTTCTAATAATTTTTAATTACATTTGTAATTGAACAACCTGCATGAAGGAAAGTTCAAGGCAAAGCGAAAAATATAAAGCTTGAAAAAGCGATCTTACAGAACCAGTGCAAATCGATTAGCATGGAATATGATAGGGATATCACATTTGATCCCGTAGAAGAGCCGAAAGACATGTTTTCCCGAGAAGTTGGAAAAACAATGTGGCACATGGTCCCTTTTGATAAATGGACTTGGAAAAAAGTTTCACTTGCAATACAGGACATCGTATTACAACATTTAGCGGTAATTATTTATTTAAATATATTTTATATGGTTAACTATAAGTGTTTTTTACTTGGTTAACTTTTTTTTGTAGATAAAGTTTGATTTGGATCAGATGTATTGGGATATACAAGCTAATATGTTGACAGAGAGTTTTCAAACAGCTTTGTTAAAAGGTTATCGAGAACGGAAAGCTGATGTATAAGAATATTTTATGTCAGTCGGAGGGTATGAAGATATCCCAAGAGCATTAGCCAACCCTCCAAAGGGTATGGAAGTTGATAACTAGAAAAAAGCAGTTGAGTATTTCCAAACAGACGAACACAATTGCTTCAGAAAGGAACAAAAAAATCCGTGAAAAGCAAACAAATCTGAATCGTGGGGGGTCGAGCTCATATGGCAGTAGTTGCTATAAGAAGGTAACATACGATACATGTAATTATTTATTTAAAATATAATCTAATATTTAAACTTAAACAGAACCTGAAGAGAGTGGAAACGTTTCGTAAAGCTCATACCGATAAGAATGATGTATTTGTTACTACTGAGGCGGAAAAACAATATGTAAGTATTTAATTATAATTTTATCATATAATTAAATGTTTATTTATACTTAATTGTTACTCACTTTTGGGAGTTACAGAATCGGTTAGTTGAAGAGTTGTTAGAACAAACTCAAGGTGAAAGTGAGTTAACACCCTCTCAAGAAAGAGCTGCGTTTGACAAAGTATTAGGAGAGCGGCGTGGCCATATTAGAGGCATTGGTCGTAAACCTTCTGCTCTCCCGCCGATTCCACAGCCTTTACAACCATCACCACAACCATCACAGGTAAAACAATCTACTTTGGTTTTGTGATGATTATTTGCTAAAAAGTTTGGTAATTAGGTTTTTGTTCCAAGTGCAAAAAATAACAACGTACTTTGGTTTTTTGTCTTACTTTAAAAATAGCAATGTATTTTGATAGTTTTTGTTTATGTTTGATAATTTAACTTATAAGTTTATATATGTTGTTATTAATTATGTAGTTGGAAAATCTTCGTGCAATGTTGAACGACCTGGCATGTAGGGATGGGCTGTATTCATTTTTTTCAATCCCAAAATAATCGAGGAAACGATGAGAACGAAGATGATGGTATGTAGGCACTGATAAGTTTTATTTGCATACGTTCTCATGCTTTGCTACTTGGTAGATTATAAAATTTTGGTTGTTTTTTGTAATTACCAGCGTCATTAATATCGGACAACATGTTAGAATTGTAAAACTTATTTTGCTACTTGTTAAAATTATCAAACTTTTGGTTGTTTTATTTTGGTATTAAATTAATTATAAGAGTATTTGGTATTTAGTTTGATGTTGTTATGTAATTTTTGGTATAGAATTAATTATAACAGTATTTAAAATAAATTATACCCAAAATCGCAAATATAAAAAAAAAAAAAAAGGATAAACGTTATTATCGGCGACACTATTACGGCGAAATTCTCTTTAGCGGCGACACAAAGTATTAGCGGCGACAGGGGAATTAGCAGCGACATTTGTCTTTAGCAACGACAATCTAATCAATAGCGACGAAACAGTATTAGCTTTAGCGGCGAATTCTCAACCCTTTACCGGCGATTTTTATCGCCGCTAATTGCTCATTTCCTTGTAGTACTAACTAACAAATAAATATATATATATATTTATAAGGGTTTTTTTTCTTGTTTGAGTCAAGCAGAAAATATATTTTACTTCGTTTATAGAAATTTCTCCATCTATCTAGTATCTATACTTAATATTTGATTCTTTGATGGCTAACTTACAAGTTGCCATGCAACTTCCTTCTATTACTTAAAAGTCAAACATGTTGCCCAGACTATTCTCCCCAAAACTTCCAAACTTTTATCCTGTTATAATAAATACCCTAACACAACATAATTGATAAATCACCTCATCAACTTCGAAACGTTTCTCTGTTTCATCATGTCTTTCAAGGAAGAACCACGATCACCATTGCAACCGCCGACATATGGAAACCTAATCACAATACTCAGTATCGATGGAGGTGGAGTACGAGGCATCATTCCAAGTGTCATCCTTGAATTTTTGGAAAACGAACTACAGGTATCTTTTATAAATTTAGTTACTTGGATTATTCTTTTGATCTTTTATATGAAAATGTTGAGGAGCTTGTATAATTATGACAGGAATTAGATGGTAAGAATGCACGACTCGCGGATTATTTTGATGTGATAGCAGGGACAAGCACCGGTGGTCTTGTGACGGCCTTGTTAACTACTCCCGGTGAAGATAATCGTCCCATTTTTGCAGCTAAGGATGTTAAAGATTTTTATATTCAACATTGTCCTAAAATCTTTCCACATGATATATATATATATATATATATATATATATATATATATATATATATATATATATATATATATATATATATATATGTATGTATTATTAGCAACAAAAAAAATTAATTTGTGACGATTCTTGTAGCGATGGGAATTGTCCTAAAATGGTTCCTTGATTTTTATCTTGAACATGCAGTGCTTGATTGTTGAAACTCTCTCCTCGCAACATGTTTTCTGTTGTTTTTCAAGTAGTGAGATGGAGAATTTCCCTAAGAATTGGTTAGTTATGTCATAAATGTGCATTTTTAATTTACATTGTGTAGCGAGCACCATCGGTTTGCTGCTGCTACAAAAGTGGTCAAAGCTCTATCGGGGCCAAAATATGATGGTGAACACCTACATAAAGTTATTCGAGAAACATGTACTAAAAGAAAAACAACTTCACGAAACATTAAAAAATTGTGATTCCAACATTTGACATCAAATATTTGCAGCCTATGATCTTCTCCAGCTACCAGGTATTGAATTGATCTATATATTTGTTGTTCCTAAAACCATCAAGTTATTGATTTTCAAAACCGGAAATGTAAACATTGGAAGTAGAATACTATTGTTAGATAGATTTTCAAAGTATGATATCTTAATAAGAACAGACTGAAAGTGCAATGCTTTAATAGATCGATCCGAAAGCATAATCCAATAATACAAAAATAAATGAAACTCTTTTGCTATATCTTGCATCTAATTAGCCCTTTCCAGATAACCATGTAGTATTAATATTCATATTCATTAGATACAAAAGAACCCAAGTCTTGATGCCACATTATCCGATATATGCATTGGAACATCCGCTGCCCCAACTTATCTTCCTTCACATTCATTCCAAACAAAAAATTCTGAAGGAAAAATTCTTAAAGAATTCAATCTCACCAATGGTGCAATAACAGCCAACAATCCGGTATATATATGGTTTATTCACTAATAATTAATTACTCATCTATACATGATGTTTAAGTTTTAGGCTAAATTAATTGAGTATGTTTCTTTTTTGCAGACTTTGGTCGCTATAAGCGAAGTAACAAATGAAATAACCGGTGGTAGTGCAAACTTTTTCCCAATAAAGCCAACAGAATACGGACGATTTCTAGTATTGTTATTGGGAACAGGGTCACCACAATTTCAAAAAAAGTATGATGCGACAAAGTCATCTAGTTGGGGAATTTTGGGGTGGTTAGCCGGTGGTGGCTCAACCCCATTGGTGGATGTATTTACTCAGGCGAGTGGCGATATGGTTGACTATCATATCTATAGTGTCTTTCAAGCCCTTCATTCACAAGATAAATATCTTCGTATTCAGGTAACTATATTTCCTTTCCATTTTATAATAATAATAAAAAAAATCAAGATTTCATATTATAACATATTGAATTAAAATGATATTAGGATGACACTTTAAGTGGGGACTTAACTTCCATGGATTTAGCAACACATGAGAACTTAGAAAATCTTGTGAAAGTGGGACAAGAGTTGTTGAAAAAACAAGTAATGAAAGTGAACTTGGGCACGGGCATATGTGAGCATTACCATCATACCACCAATGAGATGACTTTAATAAAGTATATTCACGTTTCTCATAAAACTATATTTCGTGTATATTTTAAAACATATATACGAAACATTTTATATTTATTTTATTGATTTGAATATTTTCTATTATGCATATAGGTTTGCGAAAATACTCCACCAGGAAAAGAATGTAAGAGAACTTAGATCACCAAGTACTAATAGAGGAAGAATTACACGAGAAGAGTCGATGAAAGAACAAACTACACTTTCACAAAGAACGCAAGCACTCTCAAATGCAATTCATCACTCTCTTCCAGATTTATATGAGCTCAACCCAAACTGAGATTTTCTTTCTTGTATAAGGATAATTTATTAGCTTTATTCTAATTTAAGTTTGAAGTTATGTTGTTTAGTTGAAAACTTAATTAATCGATGTAACTGTATTGTTTCTTCATACTTTCTGTTAACCAAGTATAGACAATAAATTAAAAACCCTTTGGCATATTTTCTTAAATAGAAAGTTGTAAATAACTATATATATATATACGTTCACCATAGCTAAACTAGCAAAAACACATCAGAAATTTAACTAAAGAAATGAATATGATCGAGTATTCGAGTTGATATCACGAATTAAGAATAAATGAGTTACAACCAAGAATAATAAATCATAAAGTAATAATAGACTAATATCATGATTAATACTTAAAATTCATGAAAAATTAAATTACTTACTTGACATATCATTTAGTTAGTTAATATAATGTTGGAAAAGATTAGATGGAGATTCCTGCTGGGTGGTTCGGAAAATAAATCAAAGATTCACCGGGTCTCTTGAGAGAAAATCATTGCAGATAAAGAAGCAGGAGGGTTAGAGGTTGGTTAAATAAAATCTCTCAATATGGCTTTAATAGTTAAATGGTGGTGGTGATTTAGAGCGGATCCTCTCTCCATTTGGGCTAAGGCGATAACAGGTATGCACAAACTAAATGGTAAACCTGATCGGGTTTATTCCATGAAATCTATGACCGGAGTATGGAACAACATTGTGTGCACTCAGAAGGATCTTGAAAAGATGGGCATTTCGCAAAGCCTAGTGATGGAAAAAAAACAAACTCCACATGGTGATTGGTGGTTATGTGGACTCACCAATGATGGAGACTATCATGTAAAAACACTTTGTAAAAGGTTGGATAATCATAACCCCAAGACGAACGAGAAAATCGAGTGGTTAAAAGAGGTTCCAATTAAAGTCATGACTTTCATATGGAGGGCAAAGATGGGACGAATTCCAATTAAAGTCATGACTTTCATATGGAGGGAAAAGATGGGACGAATTCCAATTAACCTTGACTCAATAGCATGCTGTCAATACGGTAATGAGGTTGAAACTGTCGATCATGTTCTGGTTAGATGTCCGTATGCTAAATCAATCATGGAATGGATTCTCAAATGGTGTAACATTCCAATTGCAAACCTCAGTTCAGTCCATGATGTGCTTGATTTCGCATCTAACTGGGGAAATTTAAAAAAAAAATAACTTTTGGGAATTTGTTATGGGGTTATATGGAGCATATAGAAAGCAAGAAATGACAGATTATTCAATGAAAAATGACTGAATCCATATAAAGTTGATGATATTATCATTGACTTCCTCAAGGTGTTTGTATGCATCTTCATTATCTTTTCTGTAGAATGAGATACCTTTTAGTGTGGAAAGGATGTGTCCCTTAAGCTCGAAGTTGGCGGTGGCAGGAATTGTAGTTTCCACAACACCCGGACCGGTGTCCTCACGAATTCGCTTCTTGTATGCCTCTAATAGTCATGATAGCAATGTTGGCCATCTCGTATTCTGGCTCATTGTTGGGTTCGATAACTTTGTATTCTTCTGTTTCAGGCTCGTAACCAGCTTCCTTTTTGTTAGGAGTCTTCTCAAAGCTTTCAAACTTGTTTTCGTTTTTCATCTTATTGCTTGATTCTCCTACGTGTTCATCTTTCTTTTTATGAAATGCTGACTCTAGATCTTCAAATGGTGGTGTCAATGGTGTCTTTGATATGGGGGCCATATCCTAATGAAACAAAACGAAATAAAAACGTAAAAACGAACTAAAATAAGTTAAACTGAAATAGCAGTTCTCACGTTGTGAGCGTGTATACTTATGTCGTAAGTTTTGAAATTCAGAAAATTTAACTAATGCAGAAAATTAACTTTTTGTGGGTTTTACCCCACAAAATGATCGATTAATCTAATGTAATTAAACTAACAACTGAAATAGTCGTTCCCCGACAACGGCACTAAAAACTTGATGTGCACATAAATATACCTATTTGGATTTAACTTTATAATCTAACTACTTATCTACTAATGCACCTATAGGCAATGTACCTAGTCAATTTATAACATAGTAAACTAAGTTGGGTATCAAACATAAGGAACAAATTTAGCTAATAATTTAACTACTAAAAATTAATCTAAGAACAATTAACTAAAGTGGGATTTTTTTATCTGATTTTGCAAGTTTATATTAACTTAAAACTATCAAACACTTAACTAAGAACGGATGTTATCAAGATATTAAAATTACTTTCGTTTAGTTTTGAATCCACCTTTTCATATGGTTAGTTACTATTTATGATTAATAAAGTTGGTTACCAAATTATATGTAATTAGTAGTCTTGATCCGATTTACTATTATTTTTTTACCAATTCATGAACTATTATGTAATAATCATACACAAACATACACAAAATTGATTGTTATTGATGATTTGGCTATTTAAGATATATCTAAGATAATTATCTATGATCAAAACAATTAATTAAACACAATTATGATCAAATGATGTTCTTCAACACAACTAAAGTTGTTACCTTTATCATTTAATCTAAGATGTGATTAATCCTAAGTCTAGTAATTTAATGATCATAAATTATTAGGTAAACAAGTTCATCTCATTCAATTGGTCAATAAATTACACTTAACTTAAATCAAAGCAACAAATATGCAAACTTTAACATGCTAGGTAATGATAATCAAACAGATACATAAACCAAATCCATATAATCCATAAATAAGAAACTAACTCAAAGTTTTACGTTTCACCTAACTAAACGAAAGTCAACTAAATTAGCTAGTCATAACAGAAAGTAAACACATAAAATCAATAGAATTCGACATGATATAATTAATGAAAACCGAATGTGATGTGTGATCTTCAATTCTCCAATCTTGAATAGTTCTTTATTCCAATGGTTGCTATTTTCTCTTATGAAATCGAGGTTTCGTTTCATTGATTGAGTAAATATTTTGTTCTTGAAATTCGATTACAGAGAATGGAGTAAAACCTCCGATAAATAGAAAATGACTTAAAAGGGAAAAACATAAATTAAGGCAATAAATCAGGTGATAAAAAAGGAGGGGATAATATCGAATATTGAAAACCAATACTCCCCCTCAAGGTGGAGCATGTAAATTAACAATGCCCAGCTTGTCAAGAAGGAAACGAAGTTGAGCAGCTCTGAGACCCTTCGTAAGAAGATCAGCAAGTTGAAGCTTCGAGTCGATCGGCATAGGGCAAATTTCTTTCGATTCAACACATTCACGAACGAAGTAGCAGTCCATTTAAACGTGCTTAGTGCATTCGTGAAAGACGGGATTATTAGCAATGTGTCGAGCTGCTTGATTGTCACAGAAAATGGTGGCGGATGCAAGTTGGGGAAAGTCGAGTTCCTTCAAGAGCCATCGCATCCAAATAAGTTCGCTAACGGTGGCAGCCATGGCCCGATATTCGGCCTCAGCGGAAGAGCGTGAAACAACGGACCACTTTTTTGTTTTCCACGAAATGGGGGCGCTATCGAGAAGAAGCAAGTAACCCGTTCGAGAGCGCCGTGTGAGAGGACAACCAAGACAATCTGAGTCAGAGTAGGCAACTAAATTCACACCACCTTCTTTTGGTAAAAGAATACCTTGACCGGGTGTAGCCTTGAGGTATCGTAAAATTCTGAACAAGGCATCCATATGATTTTTGCGAGGATCTGAAACGAATTGACTGAGGATGTTAACCGAGTAAGCAATGTCTGGATAGGTGGCCTGAAGATAGAGTAATCGGCCAATGAGTCGCCGGTAATGAGTGGCATCGACCTTGGGATCTTTGTCATCCATAGCAAGTTTGATGTTTTGTTCGATGGGAAAAGAGCTCGGGCGACACCCTTCCATGCCACAATCCTCCAAAATGTCAAGAGTGTACTTTCGTTGGCTCAAAACAAGACCACTCGAAGTCTTTGCGACTTCAATCCCAATGAAATACTTTAACTCACCGAGATCTTTAATGCTAAACTGGTCATGCAGGCTTTGTTTGATTTCCTGTATCTTTTTAGAATCATTTCCCGTAATGATGACATCATCAACGTACATGAGGCTAGCAATGAAAATGCCATCTTTTCGGTAGATAAAAAGGGAATGATCTGATTTGGATGAACAAAAAACAAGACCAAGAAGAGGTGGTGAACTTTTGATACCAGTTTCGAGAGGCTTGTTTAAGGCCGTAGAGAGATTTTCGTAGCCGACATACCCAAGTCTCGTTTTCCTTGGAAAAACCTTGCGATATTTTCATGTATACTTCTTCGTGTAGGTCACCGTGTAGAAAGGCGTTGTTAACGTCGAGTTGGTGGATGAGCCAATTGTTCTTGGTGGCCACGACAAGTAACGTACGAACAGTGACGAGTTTTGCTACCGGAGCAAACGTGTCATGAAAATCTTCTCCTTCAATTTGCGTAAATCCCTTAGCCACGAGTCTTGCCTTGTATCTTTCAACATCTCCATTTGGTTTGTATTTGATTTTGTAGACCCATTTTGAGTCTATGGCTCATTTTCCCTTCGGCAGCGTCTCGATGGTCCACGTGTCGTTTTGTTCAAAAGCTTGGATTTCCTTCTTCGTAGCTTCAATCCATTTTGGATCTTGTATAGCTTGCTTGAAATGTTTCGGCTCATCATTTGTAGTGATGGCCGCCAAAAAAACTTTATGAGCATTAGAAAAATTATCGTAAGAAAGATAATTTGTAATGGGATGTACCGTTGAGGTGTCTTGAGTTGGTGGGGTGTGTGCATGGTCGACCGAAGGGGGAAGGTTGACGACGAAATCATTTAATCACTTGGGTTGACATCGGTCCCTTTTTGGTCGTGAGTTTTGGGATTCACGATTTTGGTGGAGATTATCTCCATTTTGATTAAAAGATTCCTCACTGTTGGTCGTTTCCCCATTTTCATTATTGTTTTCTTGTGGTTCATTCCCATTATTATTATCAAAATCTTGTGGACTAGAATTAGCCTCACTGTTTGTTGTTTTATGCAAAGTGTCATGGGCTTCATGATAAGGACTTTCGACATTTTGGTTTGGAATGGGATTAAAAATATCTTGATCAATTTGAGTTTGTGGAGAACCCGAGAAAGGAAAATTGTCTTCATGAAATTTGACATCCCGTGACACAACAATTTTTTTGTTTTCGATGTCAAATATTTTGTAACCCTTTGTTCCGTGGGGGTAGCCCAAGAAAACCCCGGGTCTCCCCCTCACTTCAAATTTATCACCCTTCGTTTCGATGCTCCAAAAGTACGTTAAGCAACCGAAAACCCTTATATGATCATATTCGGGTTTTTGATTGTATAACAACTCATATGGAGTTTTATGGCCGAGGGTTTTAGAAGGAAATCGATTTATGATGTAGGCTTCCGTGAGAACACATTCCCCCCAAAACATCTTGGGAAGATTGGCTTCAAAACGTAAGGCACGAGCCGTGTCAAGTAAGTGCCTATGTTTACGCTCAACGACTCCATTTTGTTTGGGTGTGTGTGGACACGTTGTTTCCAACAAAATACCTTGCTTGGCATAAAAATCAATCATGAGGTTGGAAGTAAATTCTCCACCGTTGTCACATCTTATTCTCTTGACGGTTTTACTAAATTGATTTTCTATCATTTTGCAAAAATTTACCAAGCAGGTACTAGCATCACTTTTGTGTTTAATGAGAAAAACCCAAACAATTTTGCTAAAATCATCTACAACAGTCAAAAAATAATTGGCTGCAGAAAAAGATGGAAAACGATATTTTCCCCACATATCACAATGTAATAATTCAAAACATCCTTTTGTTTTAATGTTACTTAAAAGAAAAGGTGAACTTGTATGTTTTGCCTTTGAACAAGAATCACAGAACGTATCTCTAATGTTAGAAGAAACTCCCTTAAGAAAGTCAACTTTAGCAAGTTTCTCTTGAGATGTGTGACCTAACCTCTTGTTCCATCTTCCGATAGTAACTGCCATAACCTTTCTTCCCTTTTCAGAGAGCCTTATTCGGTATAGACCTCTTTTGCACTCACCCGCACCAATCAAGGTCCTCGTACGAAGATCCTGCATGACACAGAAATCCGAAAAAAAAATTATGGCACATTGAAGCTTTTTAGTTAATCGGCTAACAGATAGAAGGTTGCATTTAAACTTAGGAACGTGCAATATTCCTTCTATTTTAATTCCTCCAGGCAAGGTACAGTCACCCCTTCCCTCAACTGGAATGGCATCACCATTGGGAATGATAACAGGTGGTTCATAAAGGCTTTTCCTTTTGTTCACAAGGATATCAGCACGATAAGTTGTGTGTTCGGTAGCTCCCGTATCCACAACCCAATCGTCCTCGTCATAATCATTACCTGTCATGTTAGCAATACGTTTTCTTCCTTCATCACCTGTAGTAACACCATCTTCAAAGTGCTTCAAGACTGCGTTGTATTGGTCCACGGTGAGACCCGGAACAGGAATCGACCCACCTTCGACACATGAAGCTTTCGGTTTGCCTTTATCACTTTTGGTTTTTCCTGGCCACCATTCAGGGTAACCAACCAGTTTGAAGCAACCGTCCCGATTGTGTCCACCTCTATCGCAAAAGGTGCAGTGTTGAGCCTCTTCCTCTCATTTCGGGGTCTTTGAATGTGTCTTCGCCTTCTGCTGGTTCGAGGAGAGGTTTTCACGTTTTGGAACAAAGGATTTAAATGCAGCGGCTTCCATGGTGGGTTTCTTCTCCTCTGTTATCATTCTCTGTCGTTCATCTTCTGCAACAAGATGGTAGGCGGTCCCGAGACCTGGTGTTGGTTTGGTGGCGAGGATCTGAGTTTTGATAACCCCAAAATCATTGTCGAGACCCATGAGGAACTCATACAGCTTCTCTTTCTCTTGATGCTCAACGAGTCTCTTACCAATGTCACAAGTGCACCCGTTACATGTGCACCGTGGCATAGGAAAAATCGATTGAATTTCATCCCACAGAGAACGAAGTTTTGTGTAGTAGGCTGAAACAGTAGTACCGTCTTGGTGTGAAGCAGCGATTTTGTTCTTTAACTCGTACGCCCTTAGTGCACTTTCTTTTCCGAATCTTTCACGAAGATCTAACCACATCTCCGATGTTGTGCTTGCATACTTCACACTGCTTCATATTTCCTTCTCCATGGCAGTAGTAAGCCATCCCTTAATCATAGCATCCACCCTCATCCAAGCCATGTAATCCTTGGATGACTTGTCTGGTTTTTCAATGGATCCATCGACGAACCCGATTTTATTCTTTGCAAACAGGAAATTCTCCATCTCTTGAACCCAATCTGCATATTTTTTGTCAGACAATGCATCGTTAACCTGCATTTGTCTAGGATAATCAGATGGGTGAAGATAATATGGTGAGTTGTGGTCGACGACGTTGTCGCCGTCCTTCGCCGGTTGATCTGCAACTCCGGCCATGGTTTTATGTCGAGCAGTAGGATCACTGCTCTGATACCATTATGAAATCGAGGTTTCGTTTCATTGATTGAGTAAATATTTTGTTCTTGAAATTCGATTACAGAGAATGGAGTAAAACCTCCGCTAAATAGAAAAGGACTTAAAAGGGAAAAACATAAATTAAGGCAATAAATCAGGGGATAAAAAAGGAGGGGATAATATCGAATATTGAAAACCAATACTGAATTCGACTATGACTCTAGGAAATTAGATCCAACCTCTCCAACTCGAATGTGCAAAGGAGTATTTATAGTTTCCTTAAATCGTATCTCGCGTCTTGAGAATTAGGATCTCACGTCGTGAGATTAGTAATAATCCGTGGTTGACAAGGAAATTGCATTCCACGTATAAATCTTCTAGAATGATCATGCCCACGTCATGAGCTCTCATGTCATAAGTTCTGTCTTTGCACAAACATCGTGAACTTACGTACAAAAAAGATGTGGTCATCTGTTGCAGGTCGTGGGGAGTGTCTTTGCTTGATTTTTCTTCCTTTTTAAGCTCCTTTAAGCTCCAGTCCTTCCAAGTTCCAATATTTGTCACTTTTGATCCTTTTTCTTAAATAATGTCCTTTTTAGATACAAAATAGAATTTAAACTGTATAAGTACCAAATATCTTCATTATTAACTAAAATGTAGCATAAATGTATTAAAACAATGTGTGTGTGTGTGTGTGTATATATATATATATATATATATATATATATATGACAATATCACAAGACTATTACTAACATGAGCTTACAAGAACTGAAATGCCATGATCAAACAACTTAGGGTACACACCCCAAAACCATGATATACACTTCACTATACTCTATGAAAGATTGACGCATCCAAAGCACTTTCCACTGATACAACTCCAAAATCCTCGAAAAATCTCAACTTATAACAAAAAAGAATAAACCAACTATCAAAAATGGATATATAACCAATACAATGATCCCTTCGCCGCTGAACAAAACCCACGCGAAAATGGATCAACCACGTCCTAAAGTTAGTTACTAGATCATCAACAGCTCTCCCCCTACTAAAGATAACGATCAGTTTAGCAAGCCAACCAACCTTTCGACTGATATTCAACCTAAGCGGCTCAAGTGCCTAGCAACCATATCTTAAGTGTCTCAGAAGGGACAACTGACAACAACAGGGTCTTCGCCTAACAACTTCCGGCGCGAGGACCACACTCACACCTCTAAAGGTATAAACCTAACAACACTAATGCTACACTCGCGGTCTGACCAATCCTTAATTACCTCGTTACCATGAAGAATCTTTATGAATCTCGAATTCAAGAATCCAATATACTTACATTGCAACTTCCTTGAACCCATTGCACTGAAACCATAGAATCAATCCAACTATTGATTCTCCAAGCAGAAAACCCAGTTCTCCCCTAATTATGGTTCAAACTATCATCAGTTGATGTCTTCCACGCTGAAGTCTAATATTGGTTCATCCATCTACACTCTAAAGATGACTCGCGGTATATAAAATGACATCTGACAATTCCCCAAATGATGACCAAACAATCATAAAGAAACTTTGAACCTTAGGCGGAGACTTAAACACCTCGATAATTATGTCTCATGCACATAATCACATAATCATTATTATAAATAATAAAAGCAGGAAGGAAATGAATATGATACATACTAGTGACAAAATTTGGCAGAACTCGGACCTTAAACACCTCATGATATATATTCATCGTGATCTTCCAACCCATCTTCTTTATAATTCCTTCCAAGTAACATATGATGATATGATTATGGTTTTCTCTTCTTTTGATCCATTCCTTTGCGCTTCGAGCATAACATGTTTGGTGGTTTGATATGTTTTGTTCCTCAATGGAAAATAAATTACAAAAATGGTCCCCATAATTTACAAAACAAGCCCTTATGTAGAATTATATTTATAGGAATGGTGTATATATTTATAAAAATTACATAAATGCCCCCTTCCTAGTAACAAATTTACAGGTTTCATCCCTATATAAAAAATAAATTGTAAAAATGATCCTTTTTAGATCATGGCTTGTAATCTCGAAGCCTTTCCCTTAACTTTTAGCTTATATTTTATAGAAAAGATCATTGTGCGGACTTTTTTTCTTATAGCAAATGTCCATGTGTTTAACACTTTCTTATTTCTTATGTTGGTAAGTTTGGTTTATGTATAGAAAATAAATTATAAAAATTATTCAAAAGGTTCATATACATATTTTTTTTTTTCACAGAAATGATCCATATATTTAAAAGAAAATACAAAAACCGTTTCTGTATAATATAAAGGTAGTATCATCCTAGTTATACAACAAACAATAAATATGGAAATACAAACTAAAAGTATTTGTCGAGGAGGGCTAGAATGTCATTGAAGAAATATTAAATGACTATAATGTAATTTAGACGGGACGAAAAAATTGATGCCGTGGACGAAAAGCGACTCCATCGACGCCTCTTTACGGCGAGCGTCTATGCCGTCTCCTTTCCCGATTTTGCGCTGATTCTTCCTTTTCATTTCTCTTGAATTTTCTACTATAATGCTCCGTCGTATCTTCGCTAGTAGAACCACCGTCAACCGCTACCGGTCTCACATATCCAACTGTTCTGTCCGTCGCTTCTTCTCCGCCAATCCTTCCGATCGTAACTCAAAAAATTCAACGGATTACCCGCAACTCCTCAACAGTTCACAAACACAAGATGATCTTCCGCCACCGCCATTAGTTCTCCACCGCCTCCGCCCTAGGACTCTATCTCCTCTATCAGGCACTTCCCGCTTTGCATTATCCGCGACTGTAATATCCGCCGCCGCAATTCTTGCTGCATCATCCGTTATAATATTTGATGACAGCGAAATTAAGGAAGAACAAGCGAAGAAGAAACGTTTGCTTGATGATTTCGAACACGCGATTGACCGGTCGAAGGAGTCGTTTAAGAGAGTTGTGAATACGATGAAGCATACCGGCGTTGCGGCGTCGGTTCTATGGAAATCTCTTCGTTCGGTTTTGTCATCGGCTAACCATGAAGTTCGGTCAGGGTTTGAGGTTAGGGTTGCGGCGTTATTGGCGGATATTGTGGCGGCGAATGAGAGCCGGAGGGCGGCGATTGTTGGTGCTGGCGGTGGTGTGGTGTTGGATTGGTTATTAGAGTCGGTGGCATTGTCCGGTGGGGGAAATTATGGGACTCAAGCCGAGTCTGCTAGGGCTTTGGCGTACTTGATTGCTGACCCTAATGTGTCTGAGGCGGTTCTTGGGAGGCCTCATGCCATTCCCAATCTTCTCAGGTTCATATTCTCTGCTCAACCTCATCAATCCAAAAAGGTATAATTCTGTCATCAATGGCAACACCATATTCTCTTTTGCTGTTTCTTGTGTTAGTAAATGCAAGAGTAATTGTGTGCCCCCAAAAGTAGCTTATAGTTATATTCTTAATTGTTGATTAGTAATCCTGTTAGTGGCCTTAAATCATTAATGTTGATTGAGCTCCAACCTGACTTAGTGAGTTCTCCTTTAATTGGTGTATCAGAATAAGTAGTATTTGAATTTGTGGTTTAAACAACAATTATTAGATGTGCTATTTGTCCACCCTACTAAAGCTACATGAATAAATAACTTAATCATAGCTTGTTTGGGAAGTTAGGGTTTTGATTAATTTTCTAATGTATATAAGTTTTTATCCAGAAACCAGAATAACTTTTTATCATATTGATATAGCATTTTCATGAAAGCAGCACCCAAGGCGAAGTTCATTTGACATTTCTGACCCTTCAAAAGGCAGAAGCATGCTTGTTGCATCAATCATGGATATTGTCACTTCCAACTGTGACAACGTGGACAAAATCAAACTTAAGCCCATGCTATCAGGAACTGCAGCAATGAGAGATATTGCAGCTGCACTTGAAGTTATTGAAGAAGGTGGCATGCACATGGATGAGCCACCTGGCAGCAGCCAGAGTGATGATGATGATGATGATGATGGTGGAACTGGATTGAAAGGCATTGGAATGGAAGTTCTTGGAGGCACTACAATTGTAGGTCTTTCTACAAGCAATCGATCAATGGAGTTAGATGAATCTAAAGCCACTCACAACTCACCATCTTTCAACAAATTAAACAACACTTCTTCTGTAAACACAACTGTTATCCCTGGACTATGGGATGATTTGCATTCACAACATGTTGCTGTTCCTTTTGCTGCATGGGCTTTAGCAAATTGGGCAATGGCATCAGATGTAAATAGATCCCATATCCAAGAACTCGACTTCAATGGACATGCTGTCATGTCTGCATTGATTGCTCCTGAAAGATCTGTGAAATTTCACGGGAGTTTAGTAGCTCAGTTGTTGTTAAAAGACGAAAATCTCCCCATGAATGATTTCATTTCTGATTGGAGTTCTACCCTTCTTACAACCGTTTCTCAAGCAAGCAAAGCGGATGATATCTCTTTAACTCGTGTGGCTTTATCTGCATTTTTACTCTCTCTCGAGAGGTGCCCTGGTGCTCAAAGGGTAGTTATGGAAAAAGGTCTTCATTTAATGAGGGAAACTGCTAAACGGACTATGAATCATAAGTCTGTTCAAGAATCATTAGCAAAAGGGATGGAATCACTTTGTTCAGGTGACATGCGTTTGTCTCTTGAAGAAGGACAAAAGTGGTCTTGTATTCTGCTTCCATGGGTATTTAGGGAAACTTCATCTGATGCTATTAGATCTTCTGCAATCACAATCCTTTCTCGCATATGTGAAGACTATGGCCCTTCTTCCATTCCCATTTCTCAAGGTTGGTTAGCTATTATGCTTTCAGACATTCTCAAATCCAGAAAGTTATCTCTTAAAGGGAGTGCTCAACCTAGGGACAAAGTCAAGGTTTGTATCATTGTTACTTTTTTTTTTTTTTTTTTTTTTTTTTAATGGTAGTTTATGCCTTTATGGAAATACCCTTCTCATGCAGACACAAATCGATCAGGCAAATGTACTTTCTGGCACCCAAAGTGTGAACCAATTGGCTAGTGCTGTGGTCAACTTAGCAGTCAATGGTGATTCATTTGCTTTGGAAGATTTTCTTACCCTTGAACCATTTATTAACACATACAAAAATCTAAAGAAAGGCACTATCCCTAAAGTGAATGCTTTAGATTCTGCACTTGCAACTTTAAAGGGTATCAAAGCAATGACAGAAATCTGCAGTGATGATTTGTTTTCTCAAAAGAAAATAATCGATTATGGCATAATTCCTCTGTTACGTCGCTTTTTATTAAGTGATGATTATGAGAAGTTATCAGCAATTGAAGCATATGATGCATCAAGAGACATGGAAGCCAAGGATCATGGTGATTCATCTGTTGTTGATGCCCGGGACCCGTCTAGTGTCCGGGTCCCACCTACAGCTCATGTCCGCAGACATGCAGCTCGATTGTTAATGGTGCTTTCAGTTCATCCAAAAGTTAAAAAAATGATACTGGAAGATAAAGATTGGTGTAATTGGCTTGATGAATGTGCAAATGGAAAGATATGTAGTGATCTTAAAACTCAAAGCTATGCTAGAGCAACATTGTTGAATATCTTCTGTAATGATGATGATGATGATGTTGATGATGATGGAGATGGAAACAATGGCTCTAAAAATAATGGTTGTGCTCGTTATGGTGAGACGATTTTTTTGATCAACCCTGGAATGAGTCATTGGGAATGTTCTGGAAAAGGAAGGAATAGTAATAATAATAATGATTCTGAAGGTGGATTAGAGAGTCCTTCACTTGATGTTATTTTTGTTCATGGGCTTCGTGGTGGGCCCTACAAGACTTGGAGATTATCTGAAGACAAGTCATCCTCTAAATCTGGGCTTGTGGAAAAGATTGATGAAGAGGCAGGAAAACAAGGGACTTTTTGGCCTGGAGAGTGGCTTTCTACTGATTTCCCTCATGCGCGTTTGTTTAGTCTTAAGTACAAGGTTTGTGATTATATAAAGTTATAAATTGTTTTTGTATAAACATGATTATTGTAAATTGTAAATGAAGTTTGAGTTACATCTTTTGTTTTGCAGACGAATCTTACACAATGGTCTGGATCAAGCTTGCCTCTTCAGGTTTGTCGTGTATTATTCGTAATATATTTAAATAAATTAGATTTGGAGATGTTTGGTTATTGAAAATGTAAATAAATTTGAATGTGAAATTTTGTAGGAAGTTAGCTCGATGCTGTTGGAAAAACTTATTGCAGCACGTATTGGAGATCGACCTGTTGTATTTGTAACTCACAGGTTGAAATATTTAATTAAAAATGAAAGTGAGAAAACAGAAGAATTTCTCTTTTAGTTAATAATATATTTTATTGTATTGTATTGCAGCATGGGAGGCTTGGTTGTGAAACAGATGCTACATCAAGCAAGTGCAGAAAACAGAGGCAATCTTGTCAAAAACACTGTTGGTGTGGTATGTTTGATTTAATAATAATTATAATTTATCACTACTTCCAATCAATGTTTACTATTATTATTATTATTATTATGTTTTAGGTGTTCTACAGTTGCCCACATTTTGGTAGTAAACTTGCAGATATGCCCTGGCGAATGGGTTATGTCTTTCGCCCTGCACCATCGGTACTTTTTTCTTTTTTTGTCAACTAATTGAAAAATAAAGTGTAATAATTTATCAATTCACTTATTATGAAGAAGCAACGAATGAGAGAAAAGTTATATGATTGATTGATCGGATTGTTTTTGCTTTTTAAGTTTGAAGTATGATTACTTTTGTTTCGTCAGATAGGAGAGTTGAGAAGTGGGTCCACAAGGTTAGTGGAGCTTAATGATTTTCTTCACGAGCTACATAAAAAAAAATCTCTTGATGTTCTAAGCTTTTGCGAGGTACTACTACTTGTTTAAATTCTTCATGCACTTAATTTATAACAATGTCATCCAAATACAAAACAATTTAATGTTGTTGTTTTTTGCAGACAAAAGTGACTCCAATAGTTGAAGGGTACGGTGGATGGGCTTTTCGATTGGAAATAGTACCAATTGAATCTGCATATCCTGGATATGGGGAACTTGTTGTGAGTTTTTTTTTTTTTTTTTTTTTAGCAAATGGCTATTTTACCCTTATCATTTTATAGAAAAGTGATGCTGATTTGGACACGCTTGATTTGTTGGCAGGTGTTGGAGTCGACAGATCATGTTAATTCATGCAAGCCGATCACACGAACAGATCCTTCTTACAGTGAAACTTTGCAATTTTTGCACAAACTTAGAGCAGCATCATCATATCGATGAAGAATTATGTATAAACAACAGGTACTAAAATCTTTCATTATTTTACAATCACAATCCCTCATCCTACCTTATTGTAAATTTATCATATCTCAATATATCATTTATTTTTTCTTTTATTGTGATATTTGGGAAATCATCTTGACGTTTGTTTACCTAATAATTAATTTATGTGGGGGGAAGTTTTGTATATTTTGTAAATGGGTTTTGTCGTTTTGATGAAGATCATCATGTATGTAACGTGTTGTAGTTGCTTTTTGGTGTTGGGAACTTTGTCTTTTATGCTTTAAAATTGATGTGATTATTGGTGTACGTTACATAGATACATGCGACACTCCAATAATTAGTCAAGTCTGTACGAAACCATACCTCATGTCACAAACTTGAGATCATTCTATTTTCAAGACAGATGTGACTTCTTTTATATATGGTTGATGAACAATGTGATAATTAATTATAGATAAGCGTACGTCTTACACTTCAAATATCATTCATTTTATATTTATATTGGTTATATGTTTTTTAATTGTGTTTTGTCTTGGCATGTAGAGTTCATGTGAATGCAGTCCATTACGTTTTTTAGCTTCGCTTTGGTTGGTAGTCGTATAAATGGTGAAACGTGTACGACATTGTTATTATTTTTAAATGTTATAAAGCATATTGTTTATCAAATATGAAATTCAAGGCAACTCAAACCAAGTTAAAATCCGAAGTTAAAACAATTTGGTTTGTTTTGAAAATCGAGAAAACCAAATTGTAGGTTAAAATAAAATTGAGCGTTTCAATTTTCTAAACATAAAATTCAGAGTTTCAAATATAAATATATATGGTTTCAAACGTTAAATACATGCGCTATATAATAAAGCTCTCGGATAAAATGGCTTTTCATAGCATTGGTGCATTACGTATATCAAAAAATTGAGTAGAAGTGCAGATGCAGAATAATAAGTTGTTGACTTTATGATGTTGAGATTAAGCAATTGTTTAGATGGAAGCACATGAATATTTTGTTTGATTCATATAAAAACTATTTCCATAACAAGTAGCGAATGATGTCACCTCTAAGAAAACAGGCTCAAGCTGAAGCATGGAAACAGGATGGAAGGCAGAAAAGGCTTGGCTTTTGTTTCACTGAAAAAGGACCAAGGACTGATAGTTGCTTAAGCCTTAACACCCCGTTCCCGAGTTCAATTTAAAGAGAGAAAAGAAAGGAAATGGGTGGAAGTGGGAGGAAAGTAAGAGAAATTGGTGTTCCCGAGTTTCATTAAAGGAGGGAAGTGGAAGGAAATGGAGGGATCACTTTCCCTCCTAACTTTCCTTCCGATTTGGAAGGATTTGGAGAGAAAGAACAAAATGTTTCATTTTCCTTCCATTTCTCTTCAACTCGGGAACACAAAACACAAATTTCTTTTCCTTTCTCTTCTCTTCTTTTCTCTCCTTATTTTCTTTTCTCTTCTCTTCTTTTCTCTGCTACAACTCGGGAACGGAGTGTAAAAGGAGAAAAACATCGACAATTAATAAATTATAGTATTAAACCATTTTATTGACAACTTAGATCATCTTAATATAGAAGAGATATGTATAACATTCAAAGCATCTACTCTGTAAAATCATTTTCAACTAGATTAAAAAGTTTCCTTTTCAAAAAACGAACATGGCCGCTTAACTTAATTGTCAATATGAAATTACTTTGCTTTTACAATCATGAAAGTATTATATGTTTGGGCTCTTTCAGAATTGAATTTCATGCACAATAAATGGTTTAAACTGTATAATAGAAAATTTTATAGCATAATTACTTAGAAATAGAATTGGATTTTAGAACCGTAAGCATACATAGATGTCAATAGCAACGAATAGGGCTAATCCATAGTGGTGCTATCGAGTGTTTAGTGACAGAAAGCTGGGTAGCGACATTAGTTTTTTTTTTTTTTTCTTTTTTATTATTATTATTATTATTATTATTATTATTATTATTATTTTTTAAGGGAAAAATCAAAATAAAAGCTATTAGGACTGAATTTTTGATTATATAGTATAATAGTCGTTATTTCATCGTTTTTGCTACATAGCATATAGATAGTTTGTCGTTATTTACTGCTATTCACTATCGACAACTATGCATGTGTATGTGTCTGAGGTTCACACTTCAGACTTTAGATGGCATTGGACGGTGAGTAGATGGATTAGAAAGTGACCAAAGTCTCACACAACATATTTAGTGAAGAATAGGTCAAAGGAGAGAACATTTGGAGTTTTGGAATTAAAAAGTTGATGTTGTGAAATATGAAAGATCAAAATATGTTTTTGTTATTTTAATCTACTTTTTAAAGTATAAAGAATAATAATGTTTAATTATTATTGTTTTTCTAGAACGTCAATAGAGTATTTAATTGTTACAAAATTAATTAATTGAATTTAGTAATTTAGTTTGGTTTAGTGGTTTGGCCTGAACTCCACTGTACCATATCAATCTTAATTTGATTTTTAGTTTGTAAGCAAACCGAAAACCAAATTTGAAATTTGATTTGTTCCGATTCGGTTTCAGGTTAATTTGGTTTTCGGTTTCTTCCAAATAAAGTAATAATCATCCCTAACTCATTGTGAAAGAAATTTATTAGGATTATTGAATAAAATTCATCTAATGATAGTTATTTACAAGTGTCCTATTTTCTTTTTCATGTTTTGTTGTTTTAAGTCATCCTCTTTTGTTAATTTCTTTATGCTTGTCCAATATTCTAATAAATAATATCCTTGAGACATAGACATATAGTAAAATTAGAGTAGGATAATATATTTGTCAGACAAAAAGATTACAATAAGATTAGAGTAAAATAATATCATCTATTAGACATAGAGAATACAATAAAATTATAGTAAAATTATACCTCTTGTCATTTTCCATTGAGAAAGAAATCAATGACTATATCGATAATAAACCAAGATATAAATATATATTTTTTTAAATTACCGGTTAAAATGCAAAATTAACATTTGAAGTCAAATAAGTAAATGATTATTGGTTTTTATTCTTTTATGTAAATAGTTGTTGCTTTTTTGTTTGTTTATGCTCAAAAAAATAAAGTTGTGTTTCATAAGTAATACCAAAATTTCAAGACTTTTGAGGTAAATTTTCCATATCAAATAAGACATTTCACACATACACGATCAATTAGTTGGAATAAATATGTAATACAACGACTCTTGTAATTTTTAATATATATATATATATATATATATATATATATATATATATATATATATATATATATATATATATATATATATATATATATATATATATATATATATATATATATATATATAATAATAATAATAAAAGAAAATAATTAATATCTTTATTGAATTATCTATTGGGTTTGGAAAACGAAATACATAATAGTTGCGTCTATGAAGTGAGAAGGTGTATTTGGTCCATTTCCATTACCATGGCCTATATATATACATGGAACATATTTAGCATCTTTTAATTTGCACTTCTCTCACCCTCAATTGCCATGGCATTCAACATGAAGTTATTTGCATTTCTTATGTCATTATTTTTGTTAGTGCCATTATTTTTCACTACAAGTCAAGGAAGACCAACAAGAACCAAAACAATCACGACCCGCGTCGTTGGTGCACCAACCCAACAACAGGTTTTAAGCAAAAGTCATGCTCAAATCTCAATAGACAGCTACCCTGTAAGAAATCTTACAGCCGAAAAGGATTTTCGTCCCACACAACCAGGACATAGTCCTGGCGCTGGTCATTGATCCCGATAGGTTTCATTGTAACTCAACATTATATCACATAATCTTAGTTGCTAGCTTCATCTTCAATCCAAGGGTATTTGAAGCTTGTAGTTATATAGGGTCTAACTTTTTATCATTTTACAGTAGTTTAGTTTTATAGATGTATTTATGTTATGAATAGCATACTATAACTACTTTATTAATTAGCGTAATTCGATTTTGAATTCGTTTTAATCTTTGTATTTTCTTGACATTAGAAATTATCATTATATCAAAAAATAATTGATTCAAATTTTCAAATACTAATTAACCTTTTCTATATATAAATTAGCATTTTGTAATTATAATTTGGAACTACATTTGACTATATAAAGGCGCACGGATAGGATATCACGACATATGAAAATAAAAGAACAAGTTTTTCTCTTATTTATTAATCTATGCATCTTCTTGACATCGGAATTTATCATTATATCAAAAAATATTTGATAAGTACAGTTGGGTACATAAACTATAAAGGCACCCCGACACATGAAAATAAATGAACAATGTTTATTTATTTATTTATTTTTTAATACTTTTCAATTTATATACATTTAATCATTGAGTTTTTTTTGTTCATATTTAACCATTTAATTTGGTTTTTATCCGCAACCAGTCTTTATAACCAGCTACTCTAGGTTAAGCTGAAAAAATAAATTAATGGGGTAATATAATTTTCAGTTTGTACACATTTAATCTTTAATGTTTTTGTATATATTTAGGCTAAGGGAAGTTTTAACATTTTTAGCATCTTGCCACATATTTTTTCTTTCTAAGCAACTAACTCTTAGCATTTGGTAGAGAGTGGTGATGTGTTAAATTAATAGGGTTTATTTTGAAGAAAAAAAAGAGATAAAAATAACAATAGCTATGAACCAATCATAATCAACCATTACATCTTCTCTCTCTTCTTTCCTCTTGCTATTTGCTTGGCAACCAGCTCTTAACACCTCCCTTGGCAATTCCAAAGGAGTAGTGTTTGATATCTTAGCATCTTGTTTGGCGAGAGGGGTGGCGAGTCCACTCCCTCAAGCCTTAGTCTTTATGACTGTTTTCTTTAAATTTTGCTCATGACATCCTATGTAAGATAATCATTAAAGAGGTGTTATCATATGTGCTCGTCTTTTATTTATATCACTAAGCTAATTCAGGAATCGGTCAAATAATGTTTGTGTCCTAGTTTTCTACAAGTAAAAAATGTCTTGAACTTCAATTTCATTTATCTCCAACTCTCCAAGCAGAAGTTGTATTTAATTTTTCAGTATTTTAGAAAATATAAACAAAGTTTCATAAAGGAAGACAACAAAGTGGTATAGCCTACTTGTAAGATGCATGGCTTCTTTGGGGGATGGCATGCGCTCGAAGCCCTCCCCACCCATTTGTCAACAATCTACGTCTTGCTTGGCGCGCCACATGGGTTGGTGCGCTACATGGATTAGTTACCTGCTGAAAATGATAAAATGAACTAAAGTGAATAAATTATTTGGTTGTTTGTGATTTTATGTTTAAAAATAATAATTTGGGACTTTATCGTTAATTAGCCCAAAATAATGATATTTTAAGTTAATCGAACAAGTAAATGAACCTGAACGGATAAATAAATGAAATTTCTTGTTCGTATTTTTCATTTAATAAATTACATTGTCGGTGCTCATTCATTTGTGTTTGTTAAGATGATAAAGAAACAAAC